TGAGTATGTGTATAATACACTCTGTAACTTGGGCATAGGAGAGAGCCTGGAGCCATAGAAATAAGAATGTTGATAGTGATTGTTAGTGGGACTTTTGCTGATTTGTGTTATTTGGGCTTTCCCCCCTATCTATATTATCTGATTGTTCTACAGTAAACAGTTTTATTTTGTTGTCATTTGTTTCATCTAATTTTGGGGGGGTGGGGAAAAAGAAAATGTGGTACAGGTACATTCTGGTAAACTGTAAAATTATGAAAATCTCTCCTGTGTTTCTCCTCTGTTGTTACAGATATGTAAACATGTTATACCAAATAGTAATAAAGCTTTTTCTTTTTATTAATTCTTTTCTCCACACCAAGCACAGCACTGAGAACTCAAACGTTCTATGAAGTTGGTATTATTCTTGCTATTATGCAAATGGGAAAGGGTGGAGAAAGCTGAAGTCACTGGAGTCACACAGCTAGTATGTGACTGCGCTGAGACTCAGGCTAGGTCTGACCCTGCAATCAGTTTTGTGGTCTTTCTAATTCTCACTGTGGACGTCTTGTCTGTCATGAGGATGAAAAGGCTCCTGTGAGCGAGTGGATTATAAAGCATTGCTTTAAGAAGAGGAAGGTCCTCAGAGATTTTGCCAGTATGTCACATTTTTCACGGCTTGCATTGTTTTCTGGTAGTCTTTTTTATTTGAGCATGATCTTCTCAACAGCCAGCATCACTCCATCAGTGCAGTAGGTGTCACCTAATCACTTGTGGGCTTCTCTCTGGCACATTGATGTGTACCTTTCAGATTCTGAGAAACTGAGTCTGGGGCTCTGCCTCCAGGCTAGCATGACACCCTGAGGAGAAGACTCTCCATAGGCACTAGCATTCCCCTTCCTCCTAGGAGAGGGCAAGAGAGCAGTGACCTTCTTACAGCTCAGAAAAAAGTCCCAAAGCCTCCGGGACTGTGTGAAACTTGCCAGCAGAACCTCAGGAGCTGGAATAGCTTTGCCTTACATCCCCTCCTAAACCTGCAATGACATCTTTAAAACAGTCTCTGGAAATTTTTTAAAAATTGGATCTTGAAGTTAGTTCCTTCTGTGCTGTAGATTAAACAGTCTGTTGCTGTCGCTCCCTTATCTGCCTTTGTCTTTCAGCCTTCCTCTGCCCCACATTCTCCTCGTCTGGGTTTTTTCCCACGCTTGGCTTGGTCGCTCAGTATCTCAGACACCGTGGCTTCCGCATGGGATTATTCAGCTGCCTGATATGTGGCCTGCAGCGTCTCTCTGCCAAGTCCACATTCCCATATGAGCCTAATTACCGATGACTGCGGGGAATGGGGCTGTGGGTGTACCATGCTGGGAAAGAGCAAAGCGCGTCGTCTCCAGATGTTTATTGTGCACCTAGTAAGTGCCAAAGGGCTAGGTGTGGAATTTCTTATCATCTCTAGGCCTGCACACCTGCACTAGAGAATGGACTTAATGTTGTTTTAAATCTTTTTTCTCTTGCAGTTTTCCAAAGAAATTAGACCATTTTCTTGGTGAAAAGAAATCAACCTGCCGTGTTCGTAGGGTAAGTGATCCTCTGAGTCCACCATATATTTTTACCCGCATCAAAACTTTATTCAATTATTGTGATGCTCCAAGAAACAGTGTTTGATAGCATGCATTCTCTGGAAGTTTTCTCTTGCTTGGAACTAAGATGTCCTTTCAATTCTTTAACTCTCTTCATTGCTGGGTCCTTTAGAGAGGATGGTTTCCCTCATAGATTTTTCCGCCGTTCCTTTTTGCTGTTCACATGTGGTGCCTCTTATAAAGTCATCGTTGCTGTTACCTTGTCTGGCTCACAGAGAGGATGAGAGAGGAAGTTTCTTTCCTTCAGTGACTGCTGCACATGGAAAGACGGCCGTGGGCAAGGGGAAACCGTCTGTTGTGTTCACATGACTGCGCTGTCTCATGAATACCATGACAAAGAGTAATAGGTTGTGAGCGCTAGATGGGACCTTCGAGCTTATATGGCAAAAATCCCATGTATGAATGAGGCAGCTGAGGTCCAGAGGGCTTCAACAGTTTGGGGCTTTACAGACAGTAGCAGCGCCAGGTGTATGAGAGAGATATTTGATCCCAGTTGCGTGGTCTTTGCCCTGCACAAAGCTGTTTTTTTTTGAATCCACAGATTCTATCTGAGGATATAGAGTTATATAGGTAGTTCGATTTAATATAGTACTGATAAGCTAATGATAATGATCTCCCCTAAGGCCAGGGTCAAGAGTGGTGCTGTTTAGCCATTTAACTTTCTGTGATCATACTTGGCCATTATCACGAGGGGTTAGTGGAGCAGCTGTACCCAGAAGACTTCTGTTATGGACCTCATCAAGAGGGAAAATTTTCCTTTGTGCCTTTTGCAAACCACTACATTTGCAACATCATGTTGTCATGTGCTGAGACTCAGAGGCACATCTGTTTTGCATCTAGAAACTGTGGTGCACCTGCAAGTGTGGGCTTGCCAGCTGCAGACCTGCACACCCCCACTCGGGGCTGTCTACACCTGCGAAGTAATGGCTAACAGGGTTCTTCTTGTAGTGCAGTGCAAATTTGGCCTATGGTCATAGAGACTTTCAGAGAAACATGTATTCATTTAAAAAAAAAGTTAGTTGGTTTTTACATAAGAGAGCAGTCATGCAGTAAGATGGAGAGAAGGGTAAGAACATGATTCTCCACTGGAATCCAGGAAGGTAGACTTGCCTGTGGTTCCTTTGAGGAGTCCTATGCTAAGATGGCTCGGAATCGTGTTCGTTTAGGTTGGTGAGCTACATGCACTTATTCTCAAAACTTTTCATCTCACCTAGGGGATGTTCTACACGTAGCATTAAAAGCTTTTGTCTCTTACTTTATCCACTTGTCAACTTAGTCACTTTTTCTTAACAAACGGGGGCTCCTCTTCTGCCCTAACTGGAGTCTGTATTAAGGAACTTGATATGTCTCCTTACCCAGATACAGAGATAGTCTAGTTTCTACCAGAGAATGGAATTTAGAACATGAATTGCAGATTCACTGATGGATCACCTGCTCATTACTCTGATATGGATCTCTCCTGTCTCCCCAGATGCTGGGTCTGCACCCATGTTTGTTCATTATAAGTGTGAACTTGGGGGTTTCCATTTCCCCATCTTATCCAAGAAAAGACCAGAAGATTTATCTGTAGAATGCACCACAGTATATTGTGTGGGACATTGAGATCTGTTGCTCACTGGGGATTCTAAAGGTCTCTATAGAATCAAGAGATTAATAAGACTAAGAGTAAGGGACAATTAAGGAACTTAGGAAAGTGGAGAAATGCCAGATTCCGTGCCTGCATTGTACTCTTCTTTTGGTAAAGAATGAACTGGTAGAGAGGGGTCTGAGGCAGAAATGGTAAAGGGATGAAAGAAAATGGTGAAGACCCCTGAAGACTACCGCAGTTACTTTGCCTTCCTGCTGGGGTCATGAGAAGTTTGATGTTAACACTCGGGAGGCATCAAATTATTACCCAAATATCATAAGCTGTTTGCTTTTACCAAATGGGGGTGCGGAACTAAACACAACTGAAGCCATGAGTCTTTTTTTTTCCTAAAAAAGAAGCTCAGAGGCTGGTCCCGCCATGCTTGTGCACTTTGTAAAACCTGAGTCACTAGGTTCTATTTCATAGTGTGCGATGGGGCTGGATCCTGGGAATAACGCTGCTGCTGTTTCTAAGCTCAAGCAGTGCTCGCCACCGATGGTATCTCTTTAAGGGAAATGTAGGGATGCTCCTGCCAGCACTGCGATTTTATTTGCTAGAGGCCAAGTGGCAATGGCATGTATTGGTTCCATAGCAACATGTCTGTGCAGCCAGAAAAAATATAATGACTATGACAGCCAGTGTATCCTGGGCAGGATGAGCACAGCCCTCATACCCCCTTTGATTTGCTACCTTATCTTCTCCTGCCTTTCCTCTCCTGGGGCCTGTGATAGTGCAGAGCATGTGGACTTTGTAATTGTTATGATCTGTCTCTGCTATTAACACTTGCCCCCTGTCCCCATCGAACTTGGAACTTGGTAAGGGAGAAGGCAATGCCTATAGTAAAATTCTGCAGGCCTCTGAACGTGCCAGCAGGGCTGGCAGCACCTCCCTGCCTTAGCAATTGAAAGTGGGCGGAGAGTCTGAGCTTTTCATGCTCCCTGTGGCAGAGTGGCTCTGTCAGAACGGCACGGCACGGTGGGGAGAGCGTTCCCCATACATCGCGGTCAGCTGCTCCTGGCTGGAAGGTGGGCAGTGCCACAAAGCTGTGTGAAATCCAAGGAAGCAGAGGGCTAGTTTAATATGCTGCAGAGTGAGGGGACACCTGCCAGGGTAGACTGCAGTACCAGACACAGTAGGGCTGCACAGAGAAACCCACCACCCATTTCTTACCTTGCAGAAGCTTTACTGGAGGTGCAGTTTCTAATTGCAGTTTCTCCACTGATGTGTAGTTGGGCGTTAACGTCTCTCTGATGTTTTCCCATCTATAAAATCCTTTGTGAAACCATCGTAAGCACTCTTGATTTTAACAGATGCTTGCCTCTGGTGAACTCCTGAAGCATTTAAAAAAATCTGTGCCATCCATTTGAAACTTGTCCTGTGTTTCCTTTTATGATATATGTTGCTTTGGGGACCTGAGCAGTCTTTCTAAGTAGAGGGCAAGCTCTCACTTTATTCTTCTTTTTTTTAAAGTATAGTTTCTGTAATGCTCAGAACTGAGCCTGTGAATAGCAACCACCCCATTAGTATTTGTTCACGGTAATGTTATATTCCGATCCTATCTCCCGAGGAAGTTGTAAGGCAAGTGTGTAAATATATTTAAAAATGTTATTACAGTTTTCTTTTCTTTTCTTTTTTTTTTTTTGTCCTTTTTTTTTGAGACCGGCTGCACCGCGCTCACCCAGTGAGCGCTGTGAGCGCACCGGTCATCCCTATATGGGATCCGAACCCGCGGCGGGAGCGCTACTGCGCTCCCAGAGCCACACTCTCCCGAGTGCGCCACGGGCTCGGCCCTTACAATTTTCAAAGAAAAGATAAACTCAAGAAATTAGTTTTCTTGTGTGGTCTTTAAAAAAATGTAGATATGAAGTCAAAAGGTAAGAATATCAAAATACTCACATTTCCTCATCTTCCTCTTTGTGGCTATTGACCATGAACCGTGTATCCCAGGGTTTTATCCTGGCACTGAAATCCTTTTATCCTTTTTCCCACCCCATGCCCCAGTATTCACTGTCTGTTGAATTTGCCTTTGGGGCCAGACTTCTCAGTCTAGCAATGTCTTTGGAGCTATTAAGAAAGAGATTTGAAGGATTTTTCATTAAGGTGACAGGCTTGATAGATTAGGATAGTGATTCCTAATTTAGTTTTGAGGTCTGCTGGGGGAGGGAAGGTTTTTATCTTACAAAAACTTTTATCTTAAAAGAGTTCTCTTCTCTTCCCCAGTTCTGAGCCAACTGAGAAATAAGACATGAGTAATAAGTTTGATAGAAGCTGAAATGCACCTGTGCAACTGACAGCAGTTAACTATGAAGTTGTCATTACGGCTAGAGCCAAAAGGGGCTTGCCGCCTCCCCACTCCCCAGTCTAGGTGAGAGTCCACCTGTAGGAACATTTGGAGCCTGCTGACCGCTGCCTGTGT